CGAACCTGTGAAATCGGACAACACTGCAATGTATCAACAGATTGTACTAGTGGAATCTGTAATAGCACCAATCAATGCGATGGTATGTGTCATATGTGAAATAATGTTTCAGCCTTAACCTTTTCTTTTTCAGGTCCATCATGTAGTGATGGAATTCTAAATCAAGGTGAAGCTGATATTGACTGTGGAGGACCATGTGCACCAGGTAAAACATGTGAGATTGGACAGCATTGCAATGTATCAACAGATTGTACTGGTGGAATCTGCAATAGCACAAATCAATGTGATGGTATGTGTTGTTTGTAAAATAATAGCTAGGATGAAAACAGAAAAGGTTTTATACCAAACTAAAAATGGATTTCGCACTTTGCATCAAATTCAAAACCCTTTTTGGTTTCGTATGGTCAAGATTTTGCATCACACCAATTTGAAAACCGCACACAAAATGGTTTCGTACTGTTGTATAGCTGAAGGATGAGAAAAATGGTTTCGTAACGGACACTCACTACTATATTATCTCCGGTTTCGTGAAAGATTCTATTCGATACTGTCTTCTATTGTGAAGACAGCTTTAATATCAAATTAAGTCTTGGTATAGACCACTCATTGTATATTTCATTCTCCATAATACATTCTTGTAAAAGGGCTGTGAAGATCAAAGATTTCTTCTTATAAATCCATTATTAGAATTGCATCTCTGTTACTTGATGTAAATAGGGATGTGCAGTTTCGGTGAAAACAGTGAATTAGTGACAGTGATGCCGCTGCAGTGAGCGCACTGAGTGCAATGACACACTGACACCGGCATTCACTGAATCAGTGCATACACTGACACTGGTGTTCACTGAATGAATACATACACTGACACTGACTGCGTCGGTTGCAGTGTCTGCACCGACATGATGTTCACTGAATCAGTGCATACACTGACACTAACTGCACCGATGTCAGGGTTTACTGTAACAGTGATGCTCACTGAAGTATCAAGTCATCGACTCTATCAAAGTATGCACTGCTCGTGACTTTATTTATAATTATCAACGAAATTAGCGAAATGACCATACGTATTCCTCTATAAAGTAGGATTCATTTAAGTAATCTATAATTTTGAATAATAAAGTCAATTTCAATGAAATACGCCACTTATAATCCTAATATTGGCACATAACTATGGTATTTTATGACTCAACCAGATTCATTTAAAGAAGATGAGCGTTTCTTAAAATTGATGTGGACTTTGTAAAACTATTTGTATCGTTACGATTACATAAATTTTTCGCTTTATTTACTCTTAGTGATGTTGTGCAACCCGAATACACTGAAAAAAAAGGTACCCTACGAAACTATAAAAAGTTTCGATTTTTGAAGCGAAATCGAAACCCTTTTGAGTTTCGTAGAAAGTAAGATTTCGTAAGAGACAGAATTCTTATCTGTTCCAGTGTGCGTCAGTGCAAGAAGCGCAGTCGGTGTCAGTGTATGCACTGGTTCAGTGAACACCAATGCCGGCGCAGACAGTGGAACCGGTGCAGTCAGTATCTGTGTATGCACTGGTTCAGTGAACACCATATCAGTGCAGACACTGCAATTGAAGCAGTCAGTGTCAGTGTATGGACTGATTCAGTGAACAGTATGTCGGTGCAAACACTGCAACCAAAGCAGTCAGTGTCAGTGTCATCAGTGTACTGGTGAACGCCAGTGTGACTTTATCGGTGATCAGTATACTGAAACTGCACATCCCTAGATGTAAATGGTATCATTTATCAACTTGCTCTCATGATTTCTTTCATAAGATAGAAAAAAGATGTAATTCTCCTTTAAATTTCTGTACTTAGAAGAACAGTATTTAAATCTTTAAAATCAATCCAGTGATAGAATGGATGTTGCGAGTATCTAAACGAAAGAAGACAGAATTAGTTTATAATGAAGCAGTTGTTTTACAGATCAAATTTTTATTTGGATTATTCTAAATCCGAAAGAATAGGGCTAATTCATATAAAAATAATAACTTACCGATAAATCTCTTTTTTGGATTATCCTAAATACAGAAGATATGAATTACATTATTTTAAAATAACAACATGCGTGTAAAATCATTCTTTGGATTAACCTAAATATAAATAAATGTGGAAACCTCGGATTTAAATCCGAGAGTTATGTGTACTTCAAAAAGTGAATGAGACAGATGAGTCGTTCTAGAATATGGGGATATAAAAATTATCCTGGCAAACCTTATCTATAAACACTTGATTTCTATTGGCTACTGCTCAACCAATAGGATTTGGGGATGAACACAGAGAAGATTTGAACTCTTCACCTTGATTTACCCTAAGACAGTGGTTTTTCTTATAACTTGATTTCTATTGGTTACTGTTCAACCAATGGGATTTCGAGGCGAATGGAGCATAGATTCGAGTTCTCCACCCCAGAAAAGCTTGAACTATCATCTCTGTGATCGAAAGATAGAGCTCTATTTGTGGATCAATTAGAGCGTGGACAAAAACAGAACCGAATTCTGTTTAATTATCTTTGCAATAGCTGAGATGGCTTTCTTGTTTCCTTATGTTTTATATACCACTTTGTAGCTCGTGAAATTCTCTATCGAATGGTATATAATAGTTGGGGTTTCATTTGACTATGATAGGAAAAGTTTTTTACGAAAGCAGAGATAGGTCGATCTTCGCATAGGGAAAAATGACTATTTTTGCAATAACTCAGCAATGGCTCGGCCAATCATTCTTACCTTCGAACTCGACCGAGATATTGTTGAGACTAAGCTGTGTAGAAAATTTCATCGTGATCGGACTCTCCTTTCAAAAGTTATCGTGTAAACGGACGGCCGGCCGGCCGGACACACTGACCGATTCTAGAGTGTACTCACTTTTTGAGTACACAAAAATGAGTCAGAAAAGGTTTTCTTTACTGTTCTAAGGACAAAATATCATGTTGTTCGGGCCAATTAGTGGTTTGAAGGAGCCCTCTTTCATATGGCTCGAATAACACCATGTTTTGTGCTTATACTAGTAATGTGAATTTTTTTTGGTGGCTGATTGAAAACGCCGTTTTCTATGAGCTAGAGAAAAAATTAACTCTACTATTATAAGGATGGAACACAGGGTTACTCAGGTCGTATAAAAGAGTATCCTTGATAAGCCCCAGATTAGTCCGAAAAACTCTGTGTTCCATCCTTATAATAGTAGAGTTAATTTTTTCTCTAGCTCATAGAAAACGGCGTTTTCAATCAGCCATCAAAAAAAATTCACATTACTAGTATAAGCACAAAACATGGTGTTATTCGAGCCATATGAAAGAGGGCTCCTTCAAACCACTAATTGGTCCGAACAACACGATATTTTGTCCTTAGAATAGTAAAGAAAACCTTTTCTGACTCACTTTTCTACCTAAAGTTCGCATACCTTGAAATTTCAACTACTTGCTCTAGGTACACCAAACGCAATTCATATTTTAAATTCATTAGTTTCTCGTTGAACGCTGTCTTTTGACCCGAATATGGTCAATCTTTTCGCTCAACAACTGACACCCTTCTATTGTTAGTGAACATGTAGTAGATTTCTACTATCGAGGAAAAGTACATTATCTGCATATATATTGCCATTAGAAAAGAAAGTTAAAGAAAACTAATTCATGAATATAAATCGAAGGAAATACCCGTGTTATACATTTGCTCACATTGATAAATCAGAGTTTTGCCAGCTGTATTTTAATTATTTACCCAATTTCGGTTGAACTTTTGGCAATAAATCTATTGTCGCAATTTCGATAGAAAACAGAACAAATTATCGAATTTCTATGAATCCACTGATGTTTCTACTTCATTTGAGTGTGATTCATTAGTAAACCGGAATGTCAACAATATTGGTTGTTGTGAGAATTCTAGCGAAAATTGGATAAATTGCCGAAATTCAGAAAATAGACTTCGCACTAACGCTGCTACATCAGCGAAAGATTGCCGATCAGAATATAGCCGACCGTTTGGATGAATGAGATTGCATCTCACCAATACATTGTTTATTTCAGACAAAACTATTCAGCGATCCGAATAATGTAGTTGATCATCGAAACATTGATCTAATATAGATACCACTTTTACTGTCTCTGAGATATGGAAGATAGGGAGATATAAGTCTATATCTCTTATAACTTCAACATTTAATCAACCCATCATGATGAAAGAACTTTGTAGTTTCTGATTTTCAAATCCTTCATAACTTGAGACCAGTAAGGAATTGAGTCTAGATCTTCCGTGATTTTGAATATCATGGTGTTGTCCAACTTTTTGTTTATTGAAACAAGCTGTTTATCAAGTAGATATTCTCGTGTCAAAATATCCAAAACAAACACGAGATGAATCAGAAAGTCTTTCTCAGAGAAATAATCTCCAGATGATTCTGCTCCGTCAAAAGAAATATTCACACATACAGTAATGAATCCTGCAACTCTCTAAAGAATTCTTATACAGACTTGTTACTACTCATAATAAGATTGCCAAACTTTGCTATACCTACCAGAGCAGGACAGATGGATAGTGTTATGATAAACTTGTAGGATAATGTAAACAGCACACCTTACTTACGTGACTAGTATTTAGGTATCTGATGTAACTGGTAACAATCATGTATTTCTAAGCATCGTATTGCAGCATTAGTTTCAGTATATCTAAGAATAAATAAGGGTACGAGTACAATACTTTTCTTTGAATTAAAGACACAAAATAGAGAACTAAGGAAAGGAGTGATCAGTTATCTTAACTATTATAGCTAGATATGCACTGAATTCTATTATTTTGTATCCAAAACCATATATTTACAATAGCAAAAAACTCCAAAATTGAGTGCTCTTGCAGTTGTACTGATTCTGTAACAAACTCGAGCCATAATACGTTCTCCAATTGAGACTAATGTTCTCGGATTTGACAAGATGCGATCACAACATTCTGTTTTCCAAATTTCGAAGGAATTCCAATTAACTCTAGATTTGTAACAAAAACATTGATGAAATTCTGCAGCTGTTTCCAATAGAGTACACGGACCTGGTAATAATCTGACGAAAAAGAATTATAAACTCTGTAAATTTCTGTTATCTGGAATATGTGGTCTTTGAAATGAAATAATTGGATTTTGTATAGACGTAATGCAAACTAGCTGTAAAATAGTTATGCATTAGACCGAAACATACTGAATGGAACGGCAAAGCGTCTTTAGCTTCTGCTCAAAGAAAATTTCCCGTTGAGAAGCAAGGAGGAGAAAGGTTTTACAAAGCAGAAACTTGTGATATTTTTGAGTATTTAC